TTTTACCGCCCGGTTGCCTTTTGTTTACAGGTTATAATTAAAAATAATAGTTAATTAGTTGAGTGATGTCAGATAAATTTAATCCTAGACATTTTTTTTCATGGAGTGCACCTTTAAGTGATTTATAATTGCTGCTTGAAACAGCAAAATAATATAATGGAAAGAAAATCTGAGAATATTTCTCATTGTATCACGTTTCTGCTTGCTCGTTGACATTGTTTCTGTTGTGTGCGGAGTTTTGTATTGAGTACAGTATATCAGAGATGCTGATTTGATCAGCTCCTCCAGCACCAGTACTGCTGATCCCTGCACTTTGGCAGGTGTGAATTCATGCACATCTGTGCTGGTATCTTTGTTTTGTGCATTTCATTTATACACAGAGGAAAGGAGTGAAATAGTTTTGAATACGAGGGCCTAGAAAGCCACTGGGAATGTGCTCTCCAAAGGGGAGATGGAGGGAAAAGAAAACAGTGCTCATCTGGCGAATCGGCTTGTTTAATGGAATGAGGAGAGAGAGAGAGAGTGTTTATCTGAGAGACTGAGTGTTTACAGAAGAGAGAGTGCTGGAGTAATGGACGAAACGTGCAGGGCACTGTCCTCCTAAATCACAGCAGACTCCGACACACTGACTCTTCCTTTTTAAGTAATAACCTTTTCTCTCACAGGTCAGTGACGAGCACACAAAATAAAATTAGTAATGGTAGTTGACAGTGTCAAAAGAGCAACACCTTATGTGCAATTTAGTTTTAGAAAGCTATAGAAGCGTATTTTAAATGATGTGTGGTTCCATTAAAGGCATAGTTTACCCAAAAAACGATGTAAGGTTAATTTACTCAACTCTAAGCCATTGAAGATGTAGATAATGAATCTGTGGTGATTCGTATAATGTCAATAGTCACTTCTGAGAATAGAAATAAACACAAACAAGTCCAAATCAATAGTCATTGCTCCTGACATATATATATATATATATATATATATATATATATATATATATATATATATATATATATATGCTTGTTTTGTGCAAGAAACTAAAACATTTTTACAATATTATTAGCTTTATTCCACTGCCTGAGAAAATGACAGGAAGTGACAGGAAGCTAGAAATGTTGTAAGTAATACTAAATTTCTTGCACAGACCAATCATATCAAGAAGACTTAGAAAAACTTGTTCATGCTTTTATCAGCAGCAGGGTGGATTACTGTAGTGAACTCCTCACCGGCCTTCCCAAAAAGACAGTCAGACAGTTGCAGCTCATCCAGAATGCTGCTGCCAGAATTCTGACCAGAAACAGAAAACCAGAGCACATCACACCTGTCCTCAGGTCTTTACTCTGGCTCCCAGTTACATTTCAGAATAGATTAGTATTCTTATTGCTTGTCTATAAATCACTAAATGGCCTAGGATCTCAATACATTACAGATATGCTGACTGAATACAAACCTAATAGATCCCTTAGATCTTTAGGATGATATAAACTAGAAATTCCAAGAGTTTAGTCAAAGCAGGGTGAATCTGCTTTCAGCTACTACGCCCCCTGCTGCTGGAATCCGCTTCCAGAAATGATCAGATGTGCTCCAACATTAGTCATGTTTAAATCAAGACTGAAAACACATCTGTTAAGCTGTGCCTTCACTGAATGAGCACTGTGCTACATCCGACAGATTGCACTATTATGTCTTTATTTTCTTTTTCATTCTTTTCTAACCTGTTTTAACACATTTTATTCTGTTTTTAATAAATTTTATTATTTGTTTTTACTTTCCTATACTTGTCTATTTTATTTGTATTTATGTAAAGCACTTTGAATTGCCACTGTGTATGAATTGTGCTGTGTAGATAAACTTGCCTTGCCCTGATACCATTAAGGTATTTATTAATGCCTAAGATTTTGACAAGGTGCATATGGATTTTTAAAACATTTAGGGCCCTATCATACACCCGGCGCAGTGTGACGCAAGGCGTGACGCAGTAGTCTTTTGGTAGTTTAAGCTTGGCGCAAGAGTCGTTTTGAGGCGTTGCGCTACGCTATTTAAATAGCAAATGCATTAGTGCTCATTTTTGCGCCCATAGGTCTAAAAAGGAAGGTGTCCTGAGGCGCACTGCTGGCGCGTTGATATTTTGAGAAACTATAATAGATTTTTCATTAGACCAAAACTAACCCGGTCTAAACTCCGGCGCAGAGTTGCGCCTCGCTTACGCACTGCTTAATACACGCAAGAGAGCAATAGACAAATATCTTTACATATGAAAAAATGTAAATATTAAGGATATATATAGGATATAATAAGAATAGATATAGGATATAAATATAAAGGATTAAAATATTACAAAACATATTATTTTCTAGCCTACATAAATATGAAAAATCACTGCTTTTATGTCTTTTCATCTCGGGAGGCTTTTTCAGTTCATTCATAACAATTTGCTTTTGTATAATGTTATTATTATTATCAGTATTATTTATTATATCCATATTTATATTTGTTTTATTAAAAACAAGCCTAGATTTGCCCACCTGTCATGTTTTAGACCATATGGGGCAAAGCATGTGTTTTAGGATATAACTCAGGTTTTTGAGCACATTTTGCTATTATTATTCATTTATTCGTTTGCTGGAAATTAGAACTGAATTTAGAAATAGTTTTGAAACGAATATTTGCGCTTAACAAACAAAAGTATTTATTTATAGACTAATTGATGTCTGTGTGTAAAGGTTTCCCTATCCAAGAGCGAAAGTGAAAGTGATCCATTATCTCTCATTGTCACGCAGTAGATGCTCTGTTTAACAGTTTTCTGTTAAAAAAAAACTGTCTTAAAGGTAATGGGAGGTGAGACTGTAATTGGTTTATTCTTAAAACACACCTATAACTCATTAAGAAAATAAACTCAACCCTTTTAGACCGTATGGACCGTCAAAATAGAGCCCTTAGTCTTTTTTTTTATATTTAGGGGGAGGGGGGTACAATGCAGTACACTACTTGCTGTAGGTCTTGTGGGAGAAAATGCTGGAACGATAATCTCTCTAACTAGTGTTATACTTTTTTATTCAGTGCAGTACTCTCACAAAAACTTAAAAACTTCCAAGTATTTCCACACTAATCTGACCTACTTTGGATGCAGGATGTGTGAGAGAAGTGAGAGATGAGCTCTGGTCTGACTGTGATATTTAGGTAAAGTCCTGGCTCTTTTGCATTAGCACTCACACTATTCAGTTGTCATGCATTAATCACCAGCTTATTATTCAGCGCAGTCACCCCAGACAGAGCTCAGGATTAAAGGCCTGAAAGGTTGGTGTCACTGCATCCAATAAAGCCTTTGATCTTCGCCTGACGTATTCTTGGTCGTCCATGAGCTTTGTGCAGGTGTCATTCTGACTTCTTTATATTTGAGAAGAAGACTTCATTTCTATTAGAGTAAGCTTTTAGTGCCACAGGGCGCACTGGGTTTCTTTTAATGTTGCCCACCTTTCTTTGTTCCGTGCAAACTTGAGAGTGTTGATAGTGAGCCGTCCTCAGGCGGTCTGGGTGCATCGTTATATTGTGTCATTTCAGAAACCTGATTAACCTACTGTCTGCTTGACTATGACATCAGCACTGACTAGTATTTTCTTAACTAGGTTTGTAAAGGACTGTAGTAGTTGCCTCACTTGTGATTTGCAATTTAATCATCATAGAGTGTACATTTTTGCCTCTAAATAATGAAGGTGGTATTGACTTTTAATCTCAATACAGAGAATAAACTGAAAGATATAAACTCACAATTGTTTATCTAGCTATCTCTAGCAAAGCCTTGCAATTACCAATGCTAACATGTCAAGTCATCTTAATAACACACTATACTAAAATAGGGCTAAAGCATGCTAGAAACATGCCTACAATGTATTAAAACAGGATTTAAACATGCTAATAGCATGCTGTTAACATGTTACAACATGATTAATTTTAGTGCTAAAACATGCTAACAACGTGACAAACGTTACCCTGCTGAAAAATCCAGCTTAAACCAGCCTAAGCTGGTTGGCTGGTTTAAGCTGGATTTTTCAGCAGGGTAGTCATCTATTAGCAACAAATTCATATTAGCTAGAAGTGTATTAAAACATGCTAGTAAAATGACGAAAGTGTTAACCATGTTTTTAAAACAACTATTAAATGACGTTCAGTTACTGTATGTTAGTAAAATACTAAACTTTCTATAGACATGCCATCAACATGGTAAAGTTCTAAGTTTGGTAGTAGCAGCAACATGTGTAGCATGTCAGCTCAGGGTGGCAATGTTTAATAATAGCAACCTTACTGAAAAAAAACAGCTTAAATCAGCCTAGGCTGGTTGGCTGGTTTTAGAGGGGTTTTGGGCATTTCCAGCCTGGCCTTAGCTGGGAGATGACCAGCCTAGTCAGGCTGGGGGCCTAGCCAAAACTAGCTATGTCCAGCTTAAACCAGGCTGGTCAAACTGGTTTTAGCTGGTCATTTTCTAGCCTGACCTGCTAAGACCAGGCTGGAAAGGGCTGGAAACCAGCCTGGAAGTGGCCAAAATCCCTCTAAAACTAGGCTGGTCAACCAGCTAAAACCAGCCAATCAGCTTAGGCTGGTTTAAGCAGTTTTTTTTTTTCAGTAAAGAAACCGCTAATACATAAGCCACATGCTAAAAAGCATTCTAATTCATGTTAGCATAATTTAAAATATGCTAGCAAAATGCTAAAACAGGTTAGAAATGTGCTTGCAACATGTTCATATACTGTATGTTAGTTAAATGTAAACATGCTAGAAACATGGCAGTAGCATGTTAATGTTTGCTACCAATGTGATAAATATGGTATCAACATTTAAACGTTTGCTAAAATGGTAACCTTTACTATATTGCTACCTTCATTGATACACTTCTGGGGCATCACGTTGACATCGCTTCTCAGCAAGAAGGTCGCTGGTTTGAGTCTTAGCTGGGCTAATTGGATGTACATTATCCCTTACTTGTCCCGTTTTGTGTTGTTTTGCAGAGTGAACACAAGGGCTGTTGTGCTTTTAAGTGAAGAAGAGTAAAACAACAGCTTTTTTGCTTACTGGAGGAGAGTGTCTAATGAGACGGCGTGAGTGACGTGCTGTATCCTAGAGAGGGGGGGGGGTGACCAGTGGCGGTGGTCTTGTGGATCTCACCCCTCCTGATGTGGAAGATGATGAACCACCGTGCATGGCTGCTGTTCCTATTGCTGCTGTATGTTGTGTCCAGTGTATGGGGTTACCCTTTCAAACCTCCGCTGGACCTGGATGTGACCCCTCGAACTACAGTCCTCTTCAAAGGTATGATGCAGTACTTTATTCTTTTATGAAAACAAATAAGGGCAAAAGAGCTCTGCGACCATCCACACCCACCAAACAGTTCTAATATCTAGGCTGAGTCTCCTAATTGCAGTAATATATCTTAAAGGGCATCTATTTTACCCCTTTTTCAAGATTTAGGATAAGTCTTTTGTGTCTCCAGAATGTGTCTGTAAACCCATCAGATTATTTATTATACATTTCTGAATTTGGGTTTTGAGCTGTTAAAACATTGTAGCTTGTTGCCTGTGCCTATGATAAAAAGGAGCTAGTGCTCCCCACCCACTGTTCCCACGTGCATGACAGAGTCATAGAGATCTCTCTGTATTGCTATGATGCGTGTACGTAGATAAACAGCACAGTGACAGACAAGAATGAAGCAGATATTTGTTTTGGAGTGAATTCAAGCCTTTCTGCAATGATGAGTCCCACACTATGTTGTTTTAAAGTTTGTGCGGGTACACAAACACACGTTTAGCTTTGCATTGTTTGTGACAGGATACATGGTAATATCCATTGCTTTATGAACATTTGTTATGTTAATGTACAATATAACCTGATTTAGGTCCACAAACTGAGATTAAAGCTTCTTCTTTTATAATTGGCATAAAGACAATTGTCTTTATTACAAACATGCAGGGGCGACGCAGTGGTGCAGTAGGTAGTGCTTTCGCCTCACAGCAAGAAGGTTGCTGGGTCAAGCCTTGGCTGGGTCAGTTGGCGTTTCTGTGTGGAGTTTGCATGTTCTCCCTGCGTTCACGTGGGTTTCCTCTGGGTGCTCTGGTTTCCCCCTACAGTGTAAAGACATGCGGTGCAAGTGAATTGAGTAGGCTAAATTGTCCGTAGTGTATGTGTGTGAATGAGTGTGTATGGGTGTTTCTCAGAGATGAGTTGCAGCTGGAAGGGCATTCGCTGTGTGAAAACATATGCTGGACAAGTTAGCGGTTCATTGCACTATGGCGACTCCAGAATAATAAAGGGACCAAGCCGAAAAGGAAATGAATGAATCAACATGCACTGTTTTAAAAACGTTTTAAACTTGTAAACTCATTCTTGAGATGCAGCTGATCACAGAGAGCTGAACAGACCTTTTAATCCCAGTTGCCTTGCGCACGTTCTGTATTGTGGATATGATTATACTCATTACTACGGAGACGTGTTAATACTCAGCTGTCAATCAATTTCAATTGTCAATTCCTACAGGAAATTTATAAATAGAGACTTATTGTGTTTTTATCACTCTAATATGACTATGGATACACTATACTTACACACAGTTCTGTCAAAACAGCTTCCAAAAGTTCATTTTGCATCATAAATGCCCTTAAAACATATACAGTTGAAGTCAGAATTATTAGCCTTTTAATTTTTTTCTTTTTTTAAATATTTTCAAATGATGTTTAATAGAGCAAGGGAATTTCCACAGTATGTCTGATAATATTGTTTCTTCTGGAGAAAGTCTTATTTGTTTTATTTCGACCAGAAGTTTAAATAAAAAAAAAAACACATTTTAAGTTCATAATTATTAGCCCCTTTAAGCTATAATTTGTTCGATAGTCTACAAAACAAGCCATCCTTATACAATAACTTGCCTAATTACCCTAACCTGCCTAGTTAACATAATACACCTTTAAATCTTGAAGCCTTTAAATGTCACTTTAAGCTGTATAGAAGTGTCTTGAAAAATATCTAGTCAAATATTATTTACTGTCATCATGGCAAAGATAAAATAAATCAGTTATTAGAAATTAGTTTTTAAAATTATAATGTCAAGAAATGTGTTGAAAAAATCTCTCTGTTAAACAGAAAATGGAGGAAAAATAAACAGAACGGTTAATAATTCTGACCTTAACTGTATATCATTAAAAGGTGAATAATAATTGTTTTAAAAATGATAATAAAAATGAAATTAATTTAAAGATACAAATAATCACTCAAAAGTGAAACAATACTTTAATTACATTTAAAAATATATTTTTTAGATCAATAATAAACCAAATCATATTTTTTTTTTACTGTATTTATAAGTAATCGATTCGTGCAGCCATGGTGAGCTCCAACTGTATATTTACTCTATCTATTTTCAGTTAATTTGTTACTTTATTAATTTCTTCTATATTTTGTTTATTTTACTTTAAGAGTTGAACATTTTCAGATAATTTAATCACTTATTTTAAATTTAAAATCAGTAATTTTGTGTTTTAATATCAAAGTTACATGTAAAATGACATGAACTGGAGCTGATTTGGTTGGATTAAGGCTCAATCCCAATTCTACCCCTTAGCCCTTCCCCTCACTACCCCTCATTTTGCTTGTTCACGTGAAGGAGTAGGGGTGTCCCAGTTCTCTTTATCTTGAAGGTGTATGACTAAGGGGAAGGGGTAGATATCTCCAGGTGGGAGGAAAGTTCCTACCCCAGGTGGCGAAGGTTTTTGTTCATGAGTGAGGGAAGGATGGAACATGAGATTGACAGGCGAATTGGTGCAGCGGCAGCAGTAATGTGGTCGATGTACCGGTCCGTTGTGGTAAAGAAGGAGCTGAGCCGAAAGGCAAAGCTCTCGATTTACCTTTGAATCTACGTTTCTACTCTCACCTATGGTCATGAGCTTTTGGATATGACTGAAAGGACAAGATCTCGAATACAAGCGGCAGAAATGAGTTCCCTCCGCAGGGTGGCAGGGCGCACCCTAATGGATAGGGTGAGGAGCTCTGACAACTGGGAGGAGCTCGGAGTACATCCGTTGCTCCTCTGAATCTAGTGAAGTCAGCCGAGGTGGCTCGGGCATCTGTTTCGGATGCCTCCTGGACGCCTACCTAGGGAGGTGTTCCAGGCATGTCCCACCGGGAGGAGGCCTCGGGGAAGACCTAGGACACGCTGGAGGGTCTATTTAAGGCTAAAATAAAAACTGCTAAATTTCGCTGTCTATGATGCCCAATAATAACTCCTGTATAGCAGTCCCACAACATTCTCTCACTCAAATACCCTGTCAACCCACGCAAAGGCAGGGAGAACATGCAAACTCCACACAGAAACGCCAACTGAGCCGAAGTTCGAACCAGCGTCCCAGCGAACGTCTTGCTGTGAGGTGACAGCACTACCTACTGCGCCACTGCCTCGCCCATTAGATCATTATGATAACATGATATCGTTGCCTTCAGTGATTTCCTGAAGATAAATACCAAAAAATAACACAACTGGAATAACTACAGCAGTCGCGATTGTCTGATCTCATATGAAGCAAGAGATCGCGATGGCATATGATAACATGTGCAGGTGCTGTAGTGCTGTCCCATTTCTTAGGGGGAAATTTTGAAGCCCTTCCTTTTCACACTTTGTTTGCAGGGCTAAGGGGAAGGCGTGGGGGTAAAAAAAATAATTTGGGATTGGGCCTTAGTAAAGAATAGTTTGAATCTTTGTGAGGCAATTTAATGCGAAAACTACTTCTAGAACCAAGACTACTGAAAAGTGGGCAGTCACTGCTGTATTCACATCATGGTATGTTCACACGATAATCATTGGTAAAATATCTATATACTGTATATAAGTACTGAATAATAGTTTATCCATCAATCCCTATAATGTGGTACTACAACCATACATTTCTGCATGTACCTCAAGAGTTAATTTTCAAGTAAATAAAAGAGCTGCTTATGCAGAGAATCTGCTCTGTGCTTACGTGAGGAGGAGTGGGTTCACAGACTGTTTATAACTCTATACTTAATCACTTGGATGTAAGCAGGGCTGTCACAGCAGTTTAGATGACTAGCCACTTACTAGCTGAAATTTTGTATCTCTCTTCGCTGTTCAATAATAAAACTGCTTTCTTTCACATCTGTGAAGCAGAAATGCAGGAGAAAAAACAAGTAAGCCAACTTAAGGTTTCTTTATCTCCAGTGTTTAGTTACACAACCACAGTGAGAGGTCAGTGGGCTAGGAGACCAGAGGACTGTGTTGAGTTTAAAAACACAAGACTTGTCTTACCTCTCCCTGTCAAGTTAAGAGTGTTGGAGAGGTTACTTTGGAAATGTAATAGATTACAGATTACATACAGTAGGTGAGAGTTCAAAGTGACTATTACCGCCGCGTCATATACCGCCGCCGTTTGAAATAGGAGCCGCTTTGTTTTTAGTGTATGACCGCAGTTTGTGAATGAGCCGCCAGGGGGCGCAAAGGGACGGGATGCGAACCGACAGAAATAGCCCACACAGCAGCCTTAAATATGCTATTGTGCTTGTAAATGAGATTAAACAATAAGTCAAAGCATTATAATTCCTTTATTAATCATTTAAAATTTGTTAACACGATTTATTGTTATTCTAAACTTTTTAAGTGCAAAGAGGATTCTTTTTGAAAAATAGAATTGAAGAAGTTAAAGACAACTAATATGAAAGCACAAACATTCAGTACAAATATTCTAAGTATGCCTAAATTAAAAAATTAAAGCAGTCTTTTAGCCTAAATGTAAAGAGATTTTCAGTGTTTGCTATTTTGGTAGGACTAACACAAGACCTTTTCATTTATGTTTTAATTTACCTTTTTATTTACATTTTCGTTGTTAATTATATTTTACTATTTAATTTTATGTCACAATTATTGTACATAATAATAAACAAATAATGAAAAATAATAAAAATAGGCCTTGTGGTGAAACACTAAGAAACGGTCGGCGCATGGTCTAAAGAGCTTAAGTTGAATACTGCTTCATAAAATAATTTTGCCGCAGGACATATCTCGCAGGTTTATTTTTAATAGTTTTCAGTTATTTTTTTGTTTCAAAACAACAATGTTCTCTTTAAAGTTCTCTTTTTTTCTTTTTTTCTCTTTTTTTTTGTTGTTTTGTTTTTTTTACTTAATGGCCCAGTATGTTTTGTATTTTAATTTCAATTTCAGTCACCTTGCATATGCATTTGAAATATAATGTGCGCATAACCGCGGAAAGAAAAAAAAACTGTCAAAGGTTAGAGCTAATTCATCAAAAGGT